ATGCAAAGTGTCAGGACGGAAAGGAATCCGTGTGGCCCTGAGCAGGAGGGAGCCTGGGTGTCTAAATAAGGCCCAGCAGGTGTACTGGAGCTGAAACTGACAGAGAGAGGGGGATAGAGCAAATGAGGGTCGGAGGGAGGACAGGCCCAGATCCCACTGGGCTACTGGTACTGCTGTATTAAGATTTACATCTTAACATCAGGGGAAGTCACTGAAGGTTTACTTAGGGATGACAGGACCCAATTTGTTTTAAATTAGCAGCTTTTGTGTAGGACACAGACTGGGGGCAGAGACAGGGTATGAGTAGACTACAGCAGTGCTCCGGGCAGAGGAGATGGAGAAGAGAAAAGGTGCCAACAAGCAGGATTCCATGGGGCAGCCCCAGGCCAGCTTTCACATTTACTTCCTCCTTTGTTCTTCATGACAGTCAGGGAACTAGCCCCACTGAGAAAGTGGCACAGTGCTGGTCTGACTCCAGAGCCTGGGCCCCAACCCCGAGATCCCCAGCTGAGCAGGAGTAAGTGCACCCCAGAGGGAAGCCCAGTAAACTGGAAGTGGAAGGTCTACCCTCAGCACACAGGTCTGTCCTCTTCACGGCGTCAGGAGTAACAACTCAACTCACTGCTGGTCTGATGACAAATGGGGGGCCTCTCTCCCTACCAGGGCCGTCCTCTGACCCAGAGGGGTATTTACAGCTGGAGGATATCTGAAGTCCTCTGTTCACAGATACCCTGAGATGCCCCACCCCCGTCTTTCTTTTATTCTAATTCCCTGTGCCTCCATTTCACTACCATTATCCCTATTTAACAGGGAACTGCCTCCTAGAATTTTTTTGAAAATATATTTTATTGATTTTTTACAGAGAGGAAGGGAGAGGGACAGAGAGTTAGAAACATCGATCAGCTGCCTCCTGCACACCTCCTACTGGGGATGTGCCCACAACCAAGGCACATGCCCTTGACCGGAATCGAACCCGGGACCTTTCAGTCCGCAGGCCGACGCTCTATCCACTGAGCCAAACCGGTTAGGGCTCCTAAAAATGTTTTGAGGATGAGTTAATATATGTAAAGATCTTAGAACAGGGTGTGGCCAACAGAGAATTAGTTTTAGTTATCCTTTTACTTATTCAACAAGCATTTACTGAATGCTCCCAGCACATATAAATACACAGGTGCTATGGAGGAAAAATAGCAGGGTAAGGGTAACAGAGATATGGGGCCAAGGCAGAGCACTCTGAGAAGGTGACATCTGAGCAGAGACCTCGTGGAGTCAAGGAGAGAATCATAATGATATCTGGGAGAAGAAGATTCTAAGCAAAGGGAACAACAAGTGCAAAGGTCCTCAAGTAGCAAGTGTGTTTGGCCTATTTAAGGAACAGTGAGGAGACCAGTGTGGCTAAAGTGAGGACCCTAGTGGTAGGAAATGATTCTGGAGAGGGGGCCAGACCATGTAGGGCTTTGTAGAATGTAGCACTGACTTTGTGGTTTATTCCAAGTGGGACTAAAAGCCACTCACTTTCAAGAAGAGAAATTACATTATAAGATTTACATTTAAAAGATCACACTAATGTAATACACTATTAAGTATACCTGCCAAGACCAGGGTCTACAAACTTCTGTATATCGCCAAACAGTAAATATTTTAGGCTTTGCAGGCCACATGGTCTCTATCACAACTACTCAACTATACCACAGTAGGGAAAAAGCAGCCATGGGTATGGTTGTGTTCCAATAAAACTTTATTTACAAAACAGGAGGCTGAGCTATAGTTTGCCAATCCTGCTCCAGACTTAATTCCCGGTTTACAGGAAATATGGGTACAGAAGACCAAAGTAAACAGTGCCAAAAGTCAGTAAGATAACATGTCCATAGTGTGGGATTCTACAAGACAACTAGCCTGGTTTACCTAAAAAAATTCAATGTCATGTGGGGGGAAAGGGAAAGGTCTGAACTACATTAAAATAAGCCAAAAAGACAACATGTACCTTGAATAAATCCTGCTTTACAAAATAGCATTTTGAGGACAACTGGGGAAATTCAAGTATGGCGTGGCTATGGGGAGGATGTAAGAAAAGGCTAATATGCAAATCAACCACAGTGGACTGACCAGTTGCTATGACACACACTGATCACCAGGGGGCAGATGCTCAACACAGGAACTGCCCCCTGGTGGTCAGTGCGCTCCCATAGGGGGAGCACTGCTCAGCCAGAAGCTGGGCTCCCACCTCTAGGGCAGTGCTAAGGATGTCCCACTAACGGCTTAAGCCATCAGTCGGACATCCCCCGAAGGTTCCCGGACTGCTAGAGGGCACAGGCCAGGCTGAGACCCCTCAACCCCCGTGCACAAATTTTGTGTTCCGGGCTTCTAGTATATTATAAAGAATCACCTCAGATGTGATAATGATACCACAATTCTGTAGGAGAATGTCCTTATTCTTAGGAGATGCCTGCTGAGGTATTAAGGAGGTAAGTGTCACATAGATTCAGCATGAGGCAAACATGGCAAATGCTGAATTGCTGACTCAGGGCACAGGAATCTGAGCCTTTTAAAAAATATCTTTATTGTTGGTAGTATTACATATGCCCCCCTTTATCACCCTGGACCCTCATTTATTATACTAAATGTGCACTGGAAATAAGTTGGCAGGGCGGGGCTCAGGGAACCCCTCTAGCTGCCCAGGAGAGCCAACTGGGGAGCAGGAGAGGCTACCAGGAGCAGTGAGCAGGCCACTGCAGCATCTAGGCAAGGACCAGCCACCAGTGTGGCCCCTGTCAGCTCTCTGCTGCCACCCCCCACCTCTCTCCAGGCTTGGGCCTATGTGGCTGGGGCAGTGAGGACAGCCATAGCAGAGCAGACTGCCTTTCACTGGGTTTCTGGCTCACGCCTCACTGGGATAAAGGTCAGGAAGCTGGGGTTTGCTCTCAGAGTAGCCCCAGCCCCACGGCCCTATCTCCCAGTCTTCAGAAAGGGACTTCCCCACACTGAAGGGCATAGTATCTTATTAAAATGAAAACCAGAGCAGGTCTCTTGCCTACAAAAACACTTCGCCAGCTCCCCACTGCTCCTTTTCCCGGCTTGCACACTGTGTGCCAGGTACCGCTGAATCAAGGGCTTCCTGTTTGTCAGCCCCTTGAACCTTTTAGCCACCTGTGACAAACCCCAACTGAGTCACCACCTGCCAAGCCCCGGGGGATCTCCACCGGGAGTCCAGGCCCTGGCTGAACTCACCAGCTTGAAGGTTCTCCACTCCTCCCCTCCCAAAACCCCTGGTGCTTGATTCTTTGGTGACACAAAACCCTCGATGTTCCTGAAATGACAAGCTATCTCACCTCCAGGCCTCTACATATGCTGGTCCCTCTTCCTGGAGTCACCTTCTCCTTCCTATCTCTGTGGCCAACTCCTTCCTACCTATACTTCCAAAACTCAGCCAACACGCAGGTCCTATGCATTTATTGGTCTTAATCGGCTTTTACTGACAGCCTATGTTTGTTTTTTTTGTTTTTTTTTTTTATGGGTATACCAGATGACAGCCTATGTTTTGGTTCAGTTTTCAGCTGAGTAACCTCAGCTGGCTTGAGATGGTAATTCTGTCCCCCTTGAAGGGACAAATATATTTTTGATCTTGGGAAGGTATGCAATAATAATTACAGTATAGATTGTGGTAATATGTCTTGTGATACTGTTTTGTGTATGCTCTAGAAATACACTGTCTATGAGTATAGCCACTAGTCATATGTGGCTATTTAAATTTAAATTACTTAAATAAAAGAATTTTATTCCTCAGTTGCACCAACCACATTTCAGATGCACCACGGGCACCTGCTTGGGCACTGCAAGTATAGAACATTCTATCACAGCAGAAAATTCTCTTGGATGGCACTGTTTTGGGTTCTCCAGAGGGTCAGCTGAATCCTTACCCCAGAGACAAGTTAAAGGAGTATTTCTCAAAGAGAGGCTCAAAGGGATAAAGTAGGGGCAGGGGGAATATTTGCCACTCATTACAAAGGGGTAAGCTTCCTAAAGCATAAAGAGCTTTCAGAAATAATAAAAAAGGCTACCCAATAGAAAAACAGGCAAAGGCTATGAACAGGCAATTCAGAAAGAGAAATTCACATGGCCCTTGAATATATGAAAGGAACTCTAACCCAGAGGAAAGGTCAATGAAAACCACCCTGAGGTGCCAGTTCTCACTGATCAGATTGGTAAAAACCCAAACATCTGAAAACACAAAGTTGTGTGGACTCTTAGACACAGACTAATAGAAACATTTCTCAACATTACAAATCCATATCCCCTATGACCCAGCAAGCCTCCATCTAAGAATTCATCTTACAAATTTAGCAGCACATATGCCAACAAGACAAACACAGGTACTGCACTGTGGCATTGCTTGTAATGAGCCAAAGGTTGGAAACAAGCCCAGTCACCATCCATAAAGAATTGCTCTATGAACTAGGGAGCATACAAGTGCAGCTGTTTAAAAAAAACAAAAATGCAGCAGCAGCTCACTACAGACTGAAGCAAGAGCATTCCCCAAGACAAATCAAGTAAAAGAGCTCGAGTACATGTACAGTGCTACCTTCTGTGCAACAAGGAAAAACCAGGGGAGTCGGGCGTGAAAGGCCCTCCCGGAGTGAGCGAGCCGTCACCTCCGTAAGAAGCTCTTGGAGGGCACATAAGGAGAGTAGTTAACTTGGGGGTGGGACAGAAGGGAGAGGGGAGCTAGACACCTTCCTTATACTGTATGATTTTTAAACTAGGTAAACCTGCATCATCTCTTCTGATTAAGTCTCTGACCGCCTGCCTCAAAAGCAATGGAGATGCGCATTAGCAATGCAGCTCCCTGACCCTCCACCCATCTCCAGATAATCAGAGGCCCTGATGTGGCCTGAGCTCCACCTGTTAAAAACTGGGGTATAGGGGAGTCTGCCCATCTGCACCCCTTCCCCTCATCTGGCCTGCCACTCTCAAAGGTCAGCCACACAGAGGCCCAGACTCGCCTCTCATCGGGAGAGTCTACGTGGAAGGTCCTCTCGATGACTGTGGTCCACTGCAAGCAGCGTATGACGAATGTGTTGGGCCGCGGTCTCTCGGTCTTCATCAGCTGGCATTCTGTAGGCAGAGGAAGGACAGAGACAGGAGGGTAAGGGGACAGCCCTGCTGGTCGACAGCCCACATCCCCTAAGTCACATCCTGTGTGCCAACCGCATGCCAGATGGTGTTAAGGACACCTTAGTGACAGATAGCTCTGGACTTGCCCCCGTGGGGCACAAGATCGTGT